AGCCAGCAGCTGGAAATCAACCACACAACACAACAGTGAGCAGGGATGTTTAGGGTGAGACGGTAGGTGTCAGCCTGGCTCAGTGGCTCGCGCTCTCTCGTGCCTCTCAGTCAAAAAAAATTGTGGTTTCAAGGCCCAACGTCAAGACTTCGAACTTACAGTGTCGGCCAGAGCTCCAGTGCAGTGCTGGTGGGAGCAATGCATTGTCAGGGGCTCCATCCTTCGGATGAGACGTTAAAACAAGTTTCTCTCTCTCTCTCTCTCCCAGCGTCCCAGCAATGTCCCACAAACAGCCATGGAGTGAGTGACCAATTTTATTTGGGGACTGTTGGCCTGGACACAGGGAGAGAGAACCTCTTTTCCAATTGCCCCACAGGATCTTTAACGTCCAAGTGATCGGAGCACTGACAGGAACTCGGATTAACATCTCATCTGATGGACGGCGCCTCTGACAATGCAACATCCCCCCAGTGCTGCACTGCAGAGTCACCTTAGGCTCTGTGATTCCAAGTCCCGATGTGGGTCCTGAACTCACAACCTCCTGACTCAGAGGCGCGAGCGTTACTGACTGAGCCCGGCCAGGCTGACACATAAATATTCAACAACCACAATTTGCCTTCAAACAGGGCAGCATCTTGGAGCACTTAATAGGTGCGGAACCTGACACCGAGGCGGGAGGTTGGGGGGGAGGTAACCGTAGGCGCGGTCGAAGAAGGTCCTCTTCAGGCACGGCCTGAATACGGGCAAAGACGGGGCGAGGCAGAGCGATTGAGGCAGAGAGTTCCAGAGGTTGAGGGGGTAGTGGCTTAAAGCACAGCTGTCAATGGTGGAATGGAGGGGGACGAGGGCAGTGCAGGAGGCCGGAGCCCGGCTGAGCAAAAGGAGCGGGTAGCGGAGTGAGGTGTGAGCAGGTGGGATGGGTAGGGAGGTGATTGGGTTTCAGTCGCATGTCGGGACTTGGAATCGCACGGCCTGAGCTGACACTGCTCCAATGCAGTGCTGGGGGGGGGGGGGGGGGGGGGGGCGCATTGTCAGAGGTGTCGGAATCCGGATGAGACGTCAGAATGGGGTGGGAAGGGTAAGGATCTGCTGTGTGACAGAGGCCCAGCGAGGCCTGGCAAGGGGTGGGGCGATGTGCGTGTGTGCGCGTGTGTGTGTTTGTATAAGTGTGTGTATAAGTGTGTGTATGAGTGTGTGTGTAGGTGAGTGCGAGTGCACATGTGAGTGTACACATGTGTGTGAGCGTGAGTGCGTGTGTGAGTGTGCGCAACCCAGTGGCGTGTGAGCATTAACACGTGAAGCAGAAAACGCCAGGAATGGCTCAGCGAGGACGGTACTCACTGCTTGTGGGTGCCATAGCCCTCGTAACCCACAGCGACAGACACAGCCACCAGCAGAGCTGGGACTCCGTAGCCCAGAGCGTACATGCAGCCTCGGAAGTGCGGAGTGGGTTGTTGCAGTTTCTGGATGTCCCGAGCCATCAGGCACAGCTGTACACCTTCCAGGAACATCCAGGCAAATGCCACCAGGAACCAGTAATGGAGCAGACCAGCGACAATCCCACACACAATCTGAAATCAACACAGCAACGCCGTTAAACACAAGCCCACGGGGTCTCATATCTACAGGGATTGTAGCAGAGCAGTTCGTGCACGCGCCTGGCAAGCGAGAGGACCCGGGTTCAATTCCCGGGCAGTCCAAAACCTTTGTCAAGTCTCCTTACTCCATACGCCTCTGTTTATCTCGCTGTAAATAGTAACCCAGGTGTAATTCCCGGGGGTAATAATAAAGCACTTCATCACATCATTGAGACGTCTCAAAGCGCTTCACAGAATATACTGTGAAGTGAATTGGCTGTGTATTTTTGAGGGGAAACATGACAGCCAATTGCCACAGCAGTGTCCCACAGACAGTCGTGGATTTAGTGATCAAACTTTTTATTTTGTGTTTATTTTGAAGGAATTATTACGTCCAGAAAAGCTATCCGCCAATCAACTTACAATCAACTTACTGCGACGTAAACAGAGGAGTGTGTGAGCCGTAAGGAAATTTGCCTGAGGCTTCTCCCCGCTCCAGGAATCGAACCCTGTCCTCTGACTTGTGAGGTGAGAGCGCGAACCACTACACTGCAGGAGTCCTTGTTGTGGTTGTCTTACCCGGTTGTTGGTTTGGTTGATGCCAACGAGGAAGATGAAGAGAGCCAGGAACAGGCTGAGGCACAGCTGAATGTTGGTGACGGTCAGTGAGTTTTTGGCCTTGGCCCAGAAGGTGAACATGCCGATGCTGATGGCCAGACACACCAGGGAAGCGATAATCCCCACGTAACTGATGATAATCAGAGCAAAGGGAGGATCCTGTAAACAGTTACAACAATCATGTGAGTTTCACTCACAAAATTACATCCAATCAGTTTGTGTGTGTCAGCCGCGCTCAGTCGGTAATGCTCTCACCTCGGCTCAGGCGGTTAGAGGTTTGGGACTTGGAACTCATATAGTTTCACTTAGAAACCACACTACAGTATTTGAACCACGTTGACACATCTCAATGACGTGATAAGGCAGTAAATCAAATGGAAGCATTTATTATTATTATTCTGACTCGGAGGCGACATTGCTGTGACTGAGCCAGGCTGACAGACATGGGGTTTCACATACACAGGGCTTTGAAGGTGGAAGGTTGATAGAGCTGTTAAAAAAAACAAATGGGATCCTTGGCTTTATAAATTAAAGGCATAGAGTACAAAAACAAGGAAGTTCTGCTAAACCTTTATAAGTCACTGGTTAGGCCTCAGCTGGAGTATTGTGTCCAATTCTGGTTCCAATTCAGGGCTATTGACTGAGCCAATCTGACACTCACCAAATGATTGGATCTAACACTCTAAATTAAGGATATCAAGGCCTTGGTGGCAGAGGAGATTTCCTTGAATGGTACCAGGGATGAGGGACTTCAGTTATGTGGAGAGACGAGAGAAGCTGCAATTGTTCTTGGAGCAGAGAAGGTTAAGGGATGATTTAATAGAGGTGTTCAAAATTATGAGGGGTTTTGAGAGAGTAGATAGGGAGAAGCTATATTCTCTGGTCTGTGGGTCAGTAACCAGGACCCAAAGATTTAAGATAATTGGCAAAAGAACCAGAGGGGAGATGGGGAGAATTTTTTTTCACAGAGATTTGTTATAATTTGGAATGCACTGCCTGAAAGGGAGGTGGAAAGAGATTCAATAACAACTTTCAACAGGGAATTGGATAGGAAAAATTTACCAGGAAAGAGCGAGTCAATGGGACTGATTGGGAAGCTCCTCCAAAGAGCTGGCACAGGCACGATGGGCCAAATGGCCTCCTTCTGTCCTCTAATATTTTATGATTTTATGATGTTGAAAGAGCTTCATAGAATCATAGAATCTGTGCCCAATTGGTTGCTGCATTTTGCCCACAAAATATACATTAATTTAACTATACAGTGTACACTGTGAAGACGTCTCGAAGGTGTGATGAGGCGCGATACCAAATGCAAGGAGTATGATTGATACCGTGTCATGATGAGCCATGATCAAAGCGAAGGATCTCAGGTGATGATGGTCACATTCACACTTTATGTGAGTTTTGGTCTGTTCTCTCAGTTCACATTCCTTATGGGACCAGTACCCACTGTTCTCTAAGAACCTCCAGACAACACAGAACATTTTTAGTTCGCTTTCATTCTTCTGTGGAGATAAAAGGTTCCCCGTTACATTCTTCAAGTCTCAGCACATCATCAACATCAACAACATCATCATCAACAATGACCACATCAAAAACAACAACAACATCAACAACACATTGTGTTTACACAGCGCCTTTCATGTAAGGAGGTCCCAAGGCTCTGGACAGTCAGGGATGCACAACCAAGCTGGTGGTGGGATCAGGAGGGGTGGAGGGCAGGGACTGTAGGGGTAGCAGGATGAAGAGCAGGGTTTTGAGAAAGCTCTTGAATGAGCCAAGGTTGGGGTGGGGGGTGTCAAGATGGAGGGAGTGTGGGATGGAACTCCAGAGGGTTGGTGTGGAGAGGCTGAAGGCCCACCTGCAATGGTTGAGCAGGCAAGTTGGGGGACGTGCAGCAGGCCAGAGACCGTTGAACAGAGAGAGTGGACAGGTTGGCAGGGGGTTACGAGGTCACAGAGGTAGGGGGGGGAGCGAGGCCGTGGGGGGTGTGAAGGTGAGGACCAGCATCTTGAACTGTATCCTCTGAGTGATGGGGGGCCAGTGGAGCCGGATGAGCGGGTGGGAGGGAGTGATAGGTTTTCAGAGCCTTGTGCGGGAGAGGACATGGGCTGCAGAGTTCTGTATGATCTGCAGCTTGTAAAGGGAGGAGTTGGGGAGGCCGGCAAGCAGGGATCTTGTGTCATCGAGCCGGATGTTGTGACTGCATGGATGAGGGTCTCGGTGTTCTGTGGTGTGAGACCGTGGCAGAGCCGGGCGATATTGCAGTGGTGGGGAAAGGCAGAGCAGGTCATGGTATGGATGTGGGGTATGAATGACGGTTGAGGGTTGAACTGAATGCCGAGGTTCCATATTGGCTCCTTGAGGTGTAGAGTGCATCCATGGAGGGAGATGCTGTCAGCGCCCGAGGTGAGGAGGCGCTGACGGGAGCCAAGCAGGAGAGCCTCGGTCTTGTTGACATTCAGCTGCAGGAAGTTAGTTCTTATCCAGTTCTTGATGTCCAACAGGCAGTTTGTGAAGACAGCAGTGGACCTGGAGGTGGAGTTGTAGAGGTACATGTCTGAGGTGGACAAATAGTGCTCTCAATGGCAAGCTCTGTGGTTTTAATTGGATAGACTCCAGCAGTTACCCCAACCCACACCCTGGGGTCTCCAAGCCTGCGCTCGTGCCTAATGCTTTCCTGAATAAACCGGATGGGTCTCTCCAGGTAGAGAGAGCGCATTCCATTCCAGGAATCAACGGTGATGGGTGTCTGCACAGTTCAGACACCTGACAATGGTAAATTGATTAAATGGTTCTTATTGATTAGCTCCAGCGGTTATCCCTTCCCCATTCCAATTGATCATCATCACTCACTGAAGTGAGGCCTCTATCCCAAGACTCCTTGTGTCTGAGAGTGAAATTCACGGTCTGGTGGGGTGTGTGACCTGTCCTGTGGCTGAGAGAGGCTGAGATGACCTCAGACGCCAAGTAGAAATGCCTTGTTTTTCCGTCGATGATGAATTCTGTGCCGTTCAGCACTGCATCCAGGTCTCTGTAGGCGATGAAAGAAACAGCACCAAAACCTGGGGTTGGGAGGAGATTCTTATGTTAGTGCAACGACGACAACAACTTGAATTGGCACAGCAGCTTTGACATAGAGTAATGTCACTCTGCCCCCACATACTCACCTGCATTAACCTCCATATCCCCATGGCACCAGTTCTAGCCGGCTCCACTGGTGCCCTATCGCCAAATGGATCAATTTCAAGATCCTTGCACTCGTCTTCAGATCCCTTCATGCCCTGCACCTCTCTATCTCTCTGACCTACTTGCCCCTAAATCCACTGCCTCTGCTTAACAGGCTCCAGCCTCCTGCACGTCACTCATGCTCTCCATCCCACCATCGGTGGCCGCGCTTTCAGCCACTACACCCCGAAACTTTGGAACACTCTCCCTCTATCACTCTGCCTCGCCTCTTTCTTCTCCATCTTTAGGTCGTGCCTGAAGACCTTCCTCTTCGACCGTGCCCAAGGTCACTTGCCCCCTTCCCCCATCTTGGCCTCGTGCTCCACCACTCTTAAGTTCTCTGGCTTCGCTGCCAATAGCACCACACGGGATATTTAACATCCACCTGAACAGACTCGGTTTAGCGCTTTGAGAGGTCTCAATGACATGATAAGGCCCAATATCAAATTCAAGGATTATTATTATTATTATTATCCACACGTACCTGTGGTTTTCCCCCCAGTCACTGTGTCCCGAAAGATGTCCATCGTGTTGTTCCTGGCCTGTAACCTCACCCTTTCCCGCTCGGATGTCCCTTCCCCACGAAACATCCGCACTTCCACTTCTAAGAAGCAAAGGACACAAACACGGGTCGGTTCCGAGGGCAACGGGACAGCATTCAATGCGTTAAACAATGATTTATGTACCGACCACTGTTAGTAACATTATTATCACTTTGAATATTAATTAGTTATAATATTACATTAATCATATAATATTATTGAGGGTTTATTATTACTAATATTAATATTTCTGTGTATCTTTATTACAAATACATGACATTATTTGTAAGAGTCGGGGTGTCGTGACATAATTACTTAACACTGCAGTGCCCTTCACGTTGGATGTCCTCCAGACGTGAAAGGCGCTACACAAATGCAAGTTGTTGTTGTTGTTGTTGTTTACCCATGATTTCCGTCTGGTTCCTCCTCACTCCCTGATCGGGCAGATCCAATGCAGCCGCAATTGCGGATTTCTCCACCAGGGTTAGGAAGGCGTTAGCAGATTGCATGCGCTCGTCAGTCTCCATACTGTTCCACAGCTCGTCTCTGCCCACGAGGTCGCTTGCGAATGACGTGACGTTCTGTTGACATGACAGCGTTGGTTATAGCACTCGCCTCGCAAGCGAGAGGACCCCGGTTTGATTCCCGGGTCAGAGCAAAACAACAGGCAAGTTTCCGTACTCCACCTGCCTCTGTTTACTCAGCAGGAAGTAGGAACCTGGACTGAGTTGATGATATAGACTGATGTTAGTTGATTGGTGGAATGCTTTCCGGACATAATAATCCCACTAAAAAATAATAATTTGGTCACTCAATCCACGGCTGTTTATGTTACACTGCTGTGCGCAAACTGGCTGCCACGTTTCGCTCACAAAACACACAGTCAATTGACTTTCCAGTAGATTCTGTGAAGAGCTTCGAGACGTCTCGAAGATTTGATAAGGCGCTGTGTCAAATGCAAGAATTGTCATTAAAATGGTGAGGCTCTTGGCTTGAGTATTGAGGCAAAGGGAAAAGGAGATGTCCTGTATGTTACTGACCTCCAAAGCGAGTCGCCTGGTAAAGTTTTGACAGAACTCATCAGCCAAGTGGAAGATTTTCTCGATCACAGGGCAGAACTCACTGCCGAGCAGCTGAGGATTCTGTGACAAGAAAGTAAATATCATGGGATGAGATCCAAGTGACTTTCTCTGTGCTTCAACTTACACAATTCATTGCGTTACTGTGACCGACAGATACACACAGAGCAAACACGCAGAGATAGACATAAGAACTACATTTAACAGAGATAGACACAGAGATACATTTGACAGCGATAGACACAGAGATACATTGACAGAGATAGACACGTAGACAGAGATAGACATGGAGATACAAAGACAGAGAAATAACAACAACCACTTGGCCCTCATGCAGGGCAGTGTCCCAGAGAGCTTGACAGTGGTGGAGCACAATGCTGAGCCGAGGGGAGGGCGCGGTCGAAGAGGAAGGTCTTTGAAGATGGGTAAGGAAGGGGCAAGGCAGAGAGATTGAGGGAGAGAATTCCAGAGAGATATGGTTAGCGATCTCCAGACATGGAGACATAGCGATACGTATTTAGGATGAGCATAAAGCCTATCTGCCACCACCATCTGGAATTCCATCCCTGAGTCCCTCCAACTCGCTCCCTCCATCACCTTACTCAAGGTGCGTCTCGAGATCCTCCTCATTGACCATGGCTTTGGTCACCTTTCCCCTTCCCCCCAACCTTCCCCACCCTTGCCACCCCCTCACCCACCCACCACGGGTAACCAGCCAGGATTGTTAAGCACCTTGGGACGTCCTCTCAAGGTGAAAGGCACCTCGTAAATCTAATTTGTATTGTGTTATATAGAGAAAGGGATATAGAGAAACATCCGATACACACAACTACTACACACAAAGATACGGACATATATATAGGAACAGGAGTAGATCATTCAGACCCTTGATCCAGTTCCGACATTCTATTAGATTACAGCTGACGTGTACCTCCAGTCTAATTACCCGCCTTTGCCACAAATCTCTTGATACCTTAACAAATACCTCTCCACCTCTTGGAAATTTGAATTACTCAGCATCCACAGCCTTTGGAGGGAGAAAGCTCCAGATTTCCACTCCCCTTCGTGCAACTGTGTATAACGCATGTAATAACTCTATGGCAGTGTATCTCAAAACACGGACGGGGGACAGCGTTGGAGTGGAAGGGGTGCGAGTGGTGAGCTGGAAATATGTGGACCCTACCTTTCGGAATCCGACTGGGCGGCTGGAATCACATCGCTCCCCAATGATTGCATCGTGCTTGTTCACGTCAGGAAGACAGTCAAAATCTATCGCGGGAATGAAACCAAATCAGCCCTCAAATAACAGCCCTCCATAAAATCGCTCACTCACTTCACAGCTGTTTGTGGGGACGCCGCTGTGCAACATTGGCTGCCGCGTTTGCCTACAAAACACACAGTCACTGCACTGTACAGTAAATCCTGTGAAGCCCTTTGGGACGGTCCTCTTGATGTGAAAGGCGCAGTACCAAATGTAAGGATTATTGTGATTAAGAAGAGGGAGGTTTGAGTTTGCGCAGAGATACAGAGATGAATAGAGTCTTTACGTTCACAGTGAGTTGTTCCATTGGTGAAGGAAGCTTCTCCGGTGGTAGAGACAAATGTTGTGTCACACGTGCAGTAGAAAGCTCCCACGGTGTTGTGACAAGTCGCATTGGTGCCACATATGTTGGATTTACACTCATCCAAATCTGCAATAAGAAATACAAATGTCAGTTACTCCTTGGGCTTCATTTCTCCCACAAAACATACAGTCATTTTACAGTATATCCTGTGACGTCTCGATATTGCGAAAGGCGCTCTATCAAGTGCAAGGATTATTATTATTATTTGCGTTGTAGTGGAGTCCTGTAGCTCAGTGGTTACAGCACTCACCCGGCAATCGAGAGACCTGGGTTCGCTTCCAACAGAGTGAAATGTTGGGCAAGTTTCCTTACTCCACAGGGCTCTGTTTACTGAGCAGTAAGTAGGAACCCGGTTGGTAGTCGATTGGCAGATCACGTTTCTGGGGGTAATAATTCCTTCAAATTTGTTTTACTAAAAATTGGTCACTTCATTCCACGACTGTTTGGGGGACACTGATGTGCGCAATTCGCTGCCGCGTTCGGCCCACAATATATACGGTCAATACACTATATAGTTTTGTTATGGTCTGGAATGCACTGCCTGAAAGGATGTTGGGAACAGGTTCAATAACAACTTTCAAAAGGGAGTTAGACAGGTACTTGAAAAGGAAAAGTTTGCAGAGTTTGGGGAAAGAGCGGAGAGAGTTGGACCAATTGAGTAGCTTTGCCAAAGAGCCAGCACAGGCACGATGGGCCGAATGGCCTCCTTTTCTGCTGTAATATTCCACAATTCTATCGTCAGTGAAGCTCTTTGAGACGTCTTGAAGATGTGATAAGGCGCTATATCAAATGCAGGGATTATTATTATTATTATTGGGCTGTGTGCTGGTCAGTGCTCTCTCCTGGAGATTCGATTGTGTGAGGGAGCAATGATCGGAGTCTCTCCATGATATAGCTGTGAATCAAGTTGAGAATCAAATACCCGGGACTAACACTCCAGTGCAGTGCTCGGGGAGTGCTGCATTATCGGTGGATACTGTCCACTGGAGACACAGACTCCAGCAATTGAGCTGCTATGTTTGCCTGCAAACACAAGGTCCCTACACTTCAGTGCCAGCCTGTGGCTCAGTGGTAGGGCACTTGCCTCCGAGTCAGAAGGTTGTGAATTTAAGTCCCGACGTCAGGACATTGAATCACAAAGTCTCGGCTTACGCCCCAATGCAGTGCTCGGGGAGCGTAGCATTGTCAGAGACGCAGTCCTTTGGATGAGACAATACGCTGAGCTGTGCTCTGTTCCGCTGATCGTTAAAGATCTTGAGCTGCTGTTGGAAAAGAGAAGGAAGTTTCTTTCTCCCCGTGTCCTCGCTGCTGCATTTTGCCCACAAAACTTTACAGTATATTTGATTATAATAAAGATAATAATAATCCTTGCATTTGATAAAGCAGCTCATCACGGCTTTGAGACGTCCCAAAGTGCTTCACAGGAAATAATGCCAAGTGAACTGACTACATTTTGTGGGTGAAACATGGCAGCAAATTGTGCACAGCAGCGTCCCCACAAAATCATAGGTTGAGGGAACAATTTATTATTCATTTTTTGAAGGAATTATTATCCCTGGAAAAGTGATCGGCCAATTCATTAACAGCCAGGTTCCCACTCATTGCGGGGTAAACAGGGGCGTGTGTGGCGTCAGGAAACTTGCCCAACGTTTGCCCCAACTGGGAATCGAACCCGGGTCTCTCGCTCTCACTGAGCTGCAGGACTTGTGGAGAGAGTGGACGGGTTGGTAAAGTTTTAGTAGGTTACAGAGGTGGGGAGGAACAAGATCGGGAAGGGTTGTCATCTGAAAAGCAGTCGAGGCGGGTGTGGTGGTGGGGTGGGGTTGGTTGGGGGTGTATTACCTTCACAGACAGTCGTTGTGTTGACGAAAGTAGTGTTTCCGGTGCTCGTGGCAAACCCTGGGTCACACATGCAGTAGAAAGCTCCCTCTGTGTTGTGACACGTTGTGTTGGGGCCACACGTAATGGATTTACACTCCTCAATATCTGTAGGAGACACAATGGTGATTTTCAGTGTTTGACAATTTAATCATCTCCACCATTGGCGGTGTGTGGTTCGGTGTGAGCTGCAAGGGGTCAGGGCCGTGCTCTCACTGAGTCAGAAGGTTGTGGGTTCAAGCCCCACATCAGGGTTTTCAGCTCACAGTCTTGGCTGTCGCTATAGGGCAGTGCCGGGGGGAGCGCAGCATTGTCAGAGGTGCCGCTGTCCTGGCTGACAATACCCCACATACAGTTGGTCACTCACTTCACGACGGTGTGTGGGAGAGAGAGAGAAACTCCTTTCTCTTTTCCAACAGCATCTCGGGATGTTTAACATCCTCCCGAACAGGGCACAGCTCAGTGTAACTTCTTATCTGAAGGATAGCGCCTCTGATGAAGCAGCATTCCCACCACATTGCACTGAAGTGTGTTTATGTCAGTCCCACTGAGGGGCTCAAAGGCACAAACAATGGGTGTGGGGGGAGTGGGGGGGCGGTGGGAATGGGGGAATGATTTACCTTCACAGAGAGTGCTGTCGTCACTGAAAAAAGATTTTCCAGTGCTGGTGACAAAGCCGGGATCACATACGCAGTAGAAACTTCCCAGTGTGTTCTGACAACCTGCATTGGAGCCACACGGACTGGATTCACACTCGATGCGATCTGTAAGGAACACAGGGCTGACAATTGCTGTGTCATAATTTCATAATCCTGAACATTAAGAGTGATTTTTTGTGTAGGTCAGTTGGGTCCCTATAAACAGTCGTGGATTAAATTGGAGGGATTATAACCCTCAGAAAGCGATCTGCCAATCGACTAACAACTGGGTTCTTACTTACTTACCCAAACGCTCCAGGACACTACTCCGCCTGAAGGGCTTTATATAAATGTAAGTTGTTGTTGTTACTGCTCGGCAAACAGAGGCGTGTGGAGTAAGGAAACTTACTGTCCTGCCGAGGAATCAAACCCAGGTCCTTGTGCTTGCAAGGCAAGCCTCGAACCACTGAGCGACAGGACTGTGTGAATGCAAGTTACTATTGTTGGTTGTGAATTTCCTTTTTACCTTTGCAATATGATTTGACTGTGAAGTTCCTTTCCCCTCGAATAGTTTCGTAGCCTTCGTAACAGCTACAGTAGAAGCTCCCAATAGTATTGTAACACGTTGCCTGAAATGAACAGGTGAACAAACCAAATTTGGTTTCACACTCATTTATATCTGCAACAACAAGAAGGAAAGCACAAACTGCATTTACACAAAAGGTTGTTAGGTTACACTCTGCCTTACACCATGAGTCATGGAAGGTTGGGGAGAATCGAGTGCCTCACACTCATCTTCAAATCCCTTCACGCCCTGGTACCTCCCTACCTCTCCGAGCTGCTTATTCCCCAACCCACAACCTGCTGCCTCGCTCGACTGGCTCCATCTTCCTGTTGGCCCTCATGCCCTCCATTCCATCATTGGGAGCAGAGCTTTCAGCCACTATGCCCTGAAACCCCTCCTCTATCCCTCCGTCTTGCCCCCTTCCTTCCCCGTCTTCAGGTTGTACCTTCACAGCGAATCGTTAAGTTGGTGAACTCAGTCTCTCCTTTGATGGAGGCAAACCCTGCGTCACACTTGCAGAGGAACGCTCCCTCTGTGTTGGTGCACGTTGCGTTGGAGCCACACGGGCTGGATTCACACTCGTCGCGATCTGTAAGTGACACAAGGGTGACATTTGCTGTGTTTGACAAGTTAATAACCCCCAAAAATTAACAGTGAACAATTGTCACTATTAAGAGTGATTAATGGCCCACGCGGAAACCCAGCGCCAAGCTTGAAAGTCTCAGATCCAAGCTGCAGAGAGTTCCACATGAGGGGTCAATCTCCCTCTGTGTGGAATGAACACAGTAAATTGTCCTGTTGTGTTACACACGTAACTGCAGCAATTACCCCCAAAGCCACAAACTCTGGGCTCGAGCCAACCTGCACCTAATCCTCTCCAGGATTATGTAAGAAGGGTGTTTCCCTCCGAGGGATGAGAGGAAGAGAGAGTGTGCATTCCTTCCCAGACACCAGGGAGATCTCCAGTTGTGTTGTACAGAAGGGAGGGAGTCCTCTCATCCCTTGGAGGGTTGCACACTGTTCCTTCAACTACCGAGAGGATAAGGGGTAATTTTTCTGGTTAGACAGGTGTCTGACACCTGCCAAACCCCATCACCGCTGTTTAAGAGTCTCCAAACCACATTATGTTCCAGAACCCTCGTTTACGTATGGAGGAACTTGGCTGTTCGCCAATTGGTGGATATCTTTCCCTCCACAGAAAATAATCCTTCCCCAAATATTTGGGTCACTCGATCCATGACCGTTTGTAAGGCAATTGCTGAACTTCACCCGCAAAATACAGTCAATTCATAGTCATAGAATATTATTTATTTACTTTAATTATTTACTATTCAGTATATTCTGTGAAGCGCTTTGAAATATCTCAAAGGCGCTATACCAAATGCAAGGATTATTATTATTAATATTATTACAGAAGGAAGCCATTTGGCCCGTTGTGCCTGTGTCGGCTATTTGGAAGAGCTACACAATCAGTGCCGCTCTTTCCCCACAGCCCTGCAATTTTTTTTTCTTTTCTACAGATCTAATTCTCTTTTGAAAGTTGTTATTGGATCTGTTTCCAAACCCTTTCAGGCAGTGCATTCCAGACTGTAACAACTCTGTGTAAAATAATTTCTCCTCGTCTTCCCTCCGGTTCTTTTGCCAATCACCTTAAATGTTTCTGCCCTGGTTACCCACCCACCGGCCAGTGGAAACAGTTCCTCCCTGTCTGCTCTATCATAACCCTTCATAATTTTGAACACCTCTATTAAATCCCCCCTTAACCTTCTCTGCTTTAAGGAGAACAATCCCAACTTCTCCGGCCTCTCCTCATAAATAAAGTCCCTCATCCCTGGTAACATTAGGTAAATCTCCTCTGCACCGTCTCCGCGGCCTTGACATCCTTCCTATGGTGCGGTGTCCAGAATTGCACACAATAATCCAACTGAGGTCTAACCAGTGACTTGTAAAGGTTCAACAGAACTTCTTTGTTTTTGTACTCTGTGCCTCGATTTATAAACCCAAAATCCCATGTGCTTTTTTAACAGCTCTATCAACCTGTCCTGTCACCTTCACAGCCCTGTGTATGGGAACCCTCTCTGTTCCTGAACCCCCTTTAAACTGTGCCATTTAGTGTGTAGGTACTTTGCAGCATATTCTGTGAAGCACTTTGAACGTCGCAACGACATGATAAGGCGCTATACCAAATGCAAGGATTATTGTTATTATTACTCACCGAGGCACGTCCCATTCCCGGACTGTTGATATCCTGGGGAGCAGGTCTGGCTGGTGACAGTCAAAGGCTCCCAAACATTGCCCAAGTAAATCACTGAGAAACAAAAGCATTGGTCTCTTTTAAAAATCTCATAACATGTCCCTCCTGGTACAGTCGTAGTGCTCTCGCCTCTGAGTCAGAAGGTTGTGCGTCCAAACCCCGATGTCAGGACTTGGAATCACATATAAAAATTTACACAGACTGTACAGCCTGTAAACAGCCCACTCGGACCAACCGGTCTGTGCCGGTGTTTATACTCCACATGAGTCCTGACAATCAATGACATCCCAGAAACAGCCAGGGAGTGAGCGATCGATTTTATCTGGAGGATTGCTGGCCAGGACATCGCGACAGAGAGAGAGAGAGAGAGAGAAAGTCCCGTTAACAATGCAGCATCAGCTGAGACTGTGTGATTCCACTCCCCGACGTGGTGGCTTCATCCCACAACCTGTGAGTCAGAGGCGAGAGCGCTCCCGACTGAGCCGGGCTGACACACGACAGCGCAGAGGGAAAAGATAAAGGGTTCTGCGTTCACTGTGTTTCCATCCACTAATCACTCCGCACTCCGCTCACGTACCCAGCAGTAAGCCAAACCAGTTTGCTTTCCTCATTCTGGCTGATGTGTCCACTCAGAAGTCAGTGATCTGCACAGGAACGGCTTCTCCTTTTGTCTCTGTGTCTCTTCTCTGTCTCTCTTTCTGTTTCTCTCTATCTCTGTCTCTCTCTGTCTCTGTTTTTCTGTCTCTCTCTCTGTATGTCTCTGTCTGTCTCTCTTTCTTTCTCTGTCTATCTCTATTTCTCTTTCTTTCTCTTTCTCTCTGCAGCTCCTGTTCTTTCTGTCTCTCTCTCTCTCTCTCTCTCTCGCTCTCCCTCATTCAAGTCAGAACCTGTCCACACAGATTTGGCTCTGAGTGCAAATGAAGGCGAAACTTTACCACATCACTTGAGCACTGATGGAGTGAGATGGGGAAATCGCTGAACATTTATAAGGGTGTGAGTTTGTGCCATCAAAGCTGTGCTGTGTGCCACATGCCTGTTATTGTTAAAATTGTGCCCCACCCACAAACTATCATTATATGACAATAATAATCCTTGCATTTCATACAGCACCTCATCTTGTCATTGAGACGTCTCAAAGTGCTTCATAGGATATACTGCAAAGTGAATTGACTGTATATTTTGTGGGCGAAACTCGGCAGCCAATTGCGTTCAGCAGCGTCCCACAAACCGTCATGGATTGAGTGATCAAATTATTCTTTTTATTTATTGCTGTATGTAAATACTTGTGTTTATTTATTTGTTTATTTATGAAGGGATTATTACCACCAAAAGAGATCCGCTAATCGACTAACAACTAACGACCGGGTTCCTATTTACTGTGAGGTAAACAGAGTCACGTGTGTGGAATAAGGAATCGAACGCAGGTCTCTCGCCCGCGAGGCAAGAGCTCTAACCACTGAGCTACAGGATTCCTGACAACCTGAAAAAGAACGTTGTCAAACTGTTTCTGCTTCCACACGTCCCGTCCGGATTTCCATTTGGCCCAAATCCATCCGCGAAACAGAGAAAAAATAAACCCATTACCTCAGCAGAGCAGGAAATGAAGCCTCACCCCGGGATTCCTGGAACAGTTCAAGGCAGTGCGATGGCATCCCAGTACGTTCCTAAGAGGCTTAAAAGCTACTCACCAAAAGAAACAGCAATTATAAGGCAATTTTATTCCCTTATAATCCATTGAGTAATCACAGCAGCAATAATTTGTTTCCTCACAACCCCGAGTGCCGGCCCGGCTCAGACAGGAACACTCTCACCTCCAGCTCAGAAGGCTGTTGGCTCAACCAACAACAACAAATGGCATTTCAGCCGAAGACGTTGAGCGTTGTGTTTGTTTGGCATTTCTGTTGTTCCAAATATTATATTGATGAATAAATACATATTTAATACAAACAGCAAAATAAAAACATTTTGAGTGTGGTGCCCGGTTCTCAGTGTCCCGCTCTGACGAGGATGTCAAGACCACGGCGAGAATATCAAGCATATCCACTGGGATTATAAAAGGGATGAGTGGCTCTACTTATCAGAACAACGGGGGATAAAAGATCTTTTTTTCTCTGGGTAGTGGGATATTAGGACTTGGAATGAAGCACAATTTATAACAGTTTTAAAAGGGAATTAAAGAAAAAAAGCACTCTGAAGAGTCTCCAAACGAAACTACTGAGATTTCTGTGTTTTATGTATCTGGGGTGTGCGCTCCCTTCTCAGAGGAACCCACCGGCTTACTTCATTGTGGAGACTTTAGGTGCAGTTTGGCCAAGTGTTGCAGAGCCCTGAGGGGACGTTCAGGTTCGGCTGAAATTGAGCCACCGCCAACTGAGCAGCTTCTGTTCTAAAGCACTGGTAATCTTTCTGATGTCTGTCCAAGTCATGATAATAATCCTTGCATTTGATAGAGCACTTTTCACGTCTTCTATACTTCAAAGTAAATTGACTGTATATTTGTGGGTGATACGCGGCAGCCAATTGCACACAGCAGTGACCCACAAACAGCCGTGGATTGAAGGGGACAATTTGTTATTTTTCTTGAGGGATTATTATCAGGTGTGTGGAGTAAGGAAACTTGCCCAAGGTTTTGCCCTTCTGGGATTCAATCCCAGGTCTCGCTTGCGGGGCAAGTGCTCTAACCACTGAGCTACAGGAGTCCATAGCTCTGAATGTTTGCATGTGGATATAACACGTCCTACAGCAGTTTTCTGCGTACGTGATGGAGAAAACAGAGAGGACTCGGAAGGGGCATTGGAGGCTTTGGGAGTTCCAGTGGAGTGTAACCACCAGACGAGCTGTGCCAAATAGGCTGTTTCTGTGCCATAACATCCTATGTAATTACTGAACCACATTCCACTTTGCACTGTTAATCACTGGAAAGTTTCTGGTTATATCAACGATGTGATCAACGAACAAACAAACAAACAGAGAATACATTTGTGTAGCGCCTTTCACGTAAAAGTATCCTGAAGGCATAAATATCAGTGTTGTGGGATGAAACTTCATCTGCTATCCAAGTTGCTTCTCTAAAGTCCTTGCTCTGTAAAACATTTTGTATCTGTAGTGAAGCGACGCAGTGGAAAACCAGAGAAAAACTGGACTGAGTTTCACTTCCTATCTCGGGAGCTGAAGGAAATTTACTGATGAGACCAGACAACTCAGTGCAGACCAATAAAACTCACTACGTACCAAGAATCTTTAGCTCAGTTATTCACTGCACAAGTTTGTTCAATTATCAGAAGAAACTGTGGAATTTCCTTCTAGTCAGTGTAAAACACACATACGTGTGGATATTTTAACAAAATACATTCAAAGCCAAACATTTCTGAAACAACGCGTCTGATGCCACATGTCTCTCATTTCCTTAAGCGTCTGATACAGGACTTCACGTTCAATCAGCGAACATTCACCAAATAATAATTCTCGCATTTGATATACAATACAAAATTGCATTTAAATAGCGCCTATCAAGTCGGGAGGATGTCCCGAGGTGCTGATATGGAGCCCTATCATGTCGTTGAGATGCCACAAAGCGCTTCACACACTATATTGTAAAGTCGATTGACTAAATATTTGTGGACAAGACACGGCAGCAAATTGCCCACAGCTTTTCGCTCCAAAAGTCGGAAAACAGGACTAGGAGGTAAACAGGAACATTCAGTCCACTGAGCCGGTAATACCAGTTTATTAAATCTTGGCAAATCCTTTAATCCCAATGGCCCACCCGTTCAACGGCCCAGTTATACCTTTAACACCCAAGTCTCTGGGTGTTTCTCTTCTAATTATCTCTGATGATTCCACAGCTTTGTGGGGCAAAATCATGTTACCTCAGAGAACATGGATATTAAACCCACTTGTAAATACAAGTTGTTATTGTTGTTGATTCACCTCCCAAGAGGAATGTTAATCCTATTGTGAAGCTGGGAGGTGCTGGGAAAGGCCACCCGTGATGTGGGAGAGGCAAGGTGATGTGTGACACACTCAGAGATACACTTCCTTCTCCCCTTCAAGGCCTTCAAGGTCCTCGCCCTCACGTATCATCCCTTCACATCCAAACACCTCCCCACCGCTCCGAGATGATGTCCTGTGTAGTGGAGCACTGTGTAAATGCATTTACATTCCTTGATGTTGGATTCCTTCGATATTTACAAACACACTTTACATTATTTCCTGTAAAGCGCTTTTGGGATGTCCTCCCGATGGAAAGGTTCCATATCAAACTGCAAGGCTTACAAATGTATAATTGATATCATTAGTGTTGTTAATATATGACAATATTAATGTCCCTGAGCAGGAGGGGAGATTATTGGCTGTGTGTCTAACTTGTGTCTTGACAGATGCAGAAACTCATTGCCAGGATTAAGAGACTCCAAAACAAATGACTCAAAGCTCTGCATCATGTTTTCCATTTGTCCGGTATGGACTGGGACTCTCTCTCTCTTTCGCTCTCCTTTTCTTTCTCTCTCTCTTCCCCCAGAGTGACACCTGCTTCTAACCACAGAGTATTAGGCAGGTTGGCGAGAGCCAAGGTTTGGGCACTCCAGATGTGTGTTGGGGTAACTGCTGGAGTCTAACCAGCGAGAACCCCATAACTTGCCGTTGACAGCACTGCCCAGCAAGCTTTCCCGCTGCTTGTCTCACTCGGGGAGCTGGAGGGCGCTATATAAGTGCAACAACAACAACAACAACAAGATTCCATTTATAGAGCGCCTTTCACGTCAGGAGGACGTCCCAAGGCGCTGCACAGTTGGGTCATGACCCGAGCAGGGGGGAAATGGTCAGGGTGAGGGGAGGGAAGGGAGGGAGAGAGGAGGGGGAAATGGTCAGGGTGAGGGGAGGGAAGGGAGGGAGCGAGGAGGAGGAAGAGAGTCGAGAGGGGAGCTGAAGGCACGGTCAAAGAGAAAGGTTTTGAGACCGGCCTTGAAGGAGGAAAGGGAGGAAGCAAGGCGAAGGCACTGGGGGATGGAGTTCCAGAGCCTCGGGGCTGAGAGGCTGAAGGCCCGACCACCGATAGTAGGGCGGTTGGGGCGGGGGACGTGGAGCAGACCGGAGCCAGAGGAACGGAGGGTACGGGCAGGTAGGTAGGGGGATAGTAGGTTGGAGAGGTAGGAGGGAGCAAGGCCGTGAATGGCCTTGTAGGTGAGGATGAGGATCTTGAAATCAATCCTCTGGGGGATGGGGAGCCAGTGGAGGCGAGCGAGGGTGGGAGTGATGTGGTCCCGAAGCCTGGTGCGGGACAGTACACGAGCTGCAGAGTTCTGAATGACCTGCAGCTTGTGGAGGGAGGTGGCGGGAAGGCCGGCGAGGAGAGAGTTCCCATAGTCCAGCCTTGAGGTGACAAAGGCGTGAACCAGGGTTTCAGCAGCGTGAGGGGTGAGGTAGTGCCGTAATCTGGCGATATTCCGGAGGTGATGGAAGGCGGTGCCAGTTGTGGTGCGGATGTGAGGGAGAAAGGACAGCTCAGGGTCGAACAAAACGCCGAGGTTCCTGACTGGCTTTGAGAGGTGGAGAGTGCAGCCTTGGATGCTGATGGTGTCAGCGCCTGAGGTGCGGAGGCGCTGACGTGAGCCAATCAGGAGGGCCTCGGTTTTTTGCACGTTGAGCTGAAGAAAGTTGTCTCTCGTCCAGGACT